AGAGTGGAGGGACAGCGCAGGAGGGGAAGACCCTCTATGAGGTGTATTGATTCAGTGACGGGTAATCGGGGTGGGTGTGTCAGCGGCAATGAGATTGGCACAGGATAGAAAAGGATTTAGGGCTGTTGTACATAGGGTTGCTATAAGTCGCAAATGACTCGACGGCACATAACAACAACAACAAGTGGAATTGCTGGGTCAAATGGTATCTCTATTTGCAACTTTTTGAGAAAGTGCGAAACCACTTTCCACAGTGGTTGCACCATTTTACACTTCCACCAACAATGAATAAAAGTTCCAGTTTCTCCACAACGTCGCCAGTATTTTTTGCTTGCTGCTCTGTTGAATTTTGCTATTTTTACTGGAGTGAGATGATATCTCATAGTTGTTTTGATTTGCATCTCTCTTAAAGCTAGGGATTTTGAACATTCTTTATGTGCTTGTTGGCCACCTGAATGTCTTCTTTGGTGAAGTGTCTATTCATATCCTGTGCCCATTTTTCAATTGGATTGTTTACCTTTATCTCGTTGTGGTTCTCAAGTATTTTATAAATTCTAGATATAAGTCCCTTATCTGATATGTCATTACCAAATACTTTTTCCCAGTCTGTGACTTCACTTTTTTAGCCCATCCATATTAAGAACACAGTCCTGCAATTATATAATAGAAACATTCTACAAATTAATGTAAATCTGATACTTCTTGTTTTGTTATGCAATGTGAAATATTTGTTACACTCCCTCCTATTTTCTTGAATAAGGGAGCTCTCGCTGTCTAAGTAATACAGTTCAAATCTGACAGCTGCTCCAAGAAAGATGAGCTGTCTCTTCCCCTGTGATTTAGAGTCTTTGGAAATATGCTGAGAGGCAAAAAAGTGGTATTTAAAAACTACATGTTGCTAGCAGTTGTCATTTTGAATGTCAGGATTCACAGCAATTAATGTTTAATGATTTTTTTCCCTGTTACTTGAGCTCACCCAATTTTTCTACTTTCTCTATAATTTTTATTAAATAAATTAAACTTACGAGGTTATTTCTTGCATTCTATTTCAGTTATTCAGAAGGAATATATATTTTTAAATAAAATTTTAAGAAACATTTACAGAGAAGTTAGATTTTTCATTCATTCATTGTTGCACTTTTTACCCCCTTTCCCTCGCTTTTCCCACTTCCAGTTCACTTCTTTTTTTTTTTTAATATTCATTCATTGTTGCATAGTTACATACCCACCACCCCTGTCCTCTTTGCAGTGATATACCTCTTATTCTGGGCTGTTGTCGTATGTATAATGCCTAATCATTTATTCCTTTTATGAACATTTACAGAAAATTTGGATTTCCATTCATTCATTGCTGCACTTCTCTCCCCGCCCAGCCCTCTC